GGGGTTTAAGTGGAGAGAAAATGTTTTGAGAATGATGAGGGCAATGAATGTACAAATGTGCTTTACACAATTGATGTATATATGGATTGTGATAAGAGTTGTATGAGCCCCTAATAAAATGATTAAAAAATAAAAATAAAAAAGAATCTACAAGCAAGATGAAAATCCACCTGGTAATAAAAATAAAAAGAGCCTTACTCATTAGTTTTACAGTTAGATCAAAATTATGCACATAACCTAAAATGATAAAGGAAATATGGGTATTCTAGAAAACCCTAGATGTTTCCACATTTGTTTCTTTAAGAGATATAATGTTGCAAGGAATGGGGCAATCCTGAGAGGTATTAAGGTTTAAAAAAAATTTTTAAGAATAAAACTTTTGCTCTCTGTTTAGGAAGGGTTGGCTCTTTACCCTACTTAAATGCAAACAGTTCCAATAGATTAACATTTTAATACTGAGTCTTTTCCACTTAAAAAATTCAATTTGTTTTTGTTAATAAAAAAAAAGCCTTTCGAAGCTAAATAAGTTATTTAAATGCATAAGTGTTTAGAATAACTCATATTGCTCACAAGAGTATCTGACACATTTATAATGAAAAACTACTGCATTTAATTCCTGGCTGCAGCATAGCCAGTAAATCATAGGCAGTGTCATTTTTTAATCTTGGACATGTTTTGCATTTTAACTCCAGATCAATGAATTAATGGTTAACCTTATGCTGACAACACATTTCAAAAGGAACTTTAAAGGAATTATCAAGTACTACCCCCTAATTCATTCGATGAAGTAAACATAACCCTGACACCGAAACTAGACAGAAGCATCACACAAAAAGAAAACTATAGGCTAAAATCATTCACAAAGATACAAAAGTCTTCAACAAAATACTAATGAACAAAATTCAATAGAAAAGACAAGAGCTAGCATTATTCTCCATGAGAAAGACAAAGAGTTTTCCTCTTGGAATTAAAAACAAGAAAGTGCCTGCTCTTACCATTTCAATGTTATACTAGGGGTCCTAGCCAGAGCTAGACCACAAGAAAAAGAAGTGAAAGTTATCTAAACCGGAAAGGGAGAATTATCTCTAGCTGTAGACATGATCCTATACAGCAGTGGTTCTCCATCTTCCTAATGCCGCGACCCTTTCATACAGTTCCTCATCTTGCGGTGACTCCCCAACCATAAAATTATTTTCATTGCTACTTCATCACTGTCATGTTGCTACTGTGATGGATGGGACGGCCCCTGTGAAAGGGTTGAGACGCTGCTACAGGGTCCCTGGTGGCGAAGCAGTTACAGGTTGGGCTGCTAACTGCAAGCTCAGCAGTTTGAAACTACCAGGCCCTCCAAAGGGGAAAGAGGGAGCGTTCTACTTCTGTAAAGAGTTACCGTCTCTGACAATTCACAGGGGCAGTTCTTCGCTGTCCTACAGATAGGGTCATTAGGAGTTGGCATTAACTTGATGGCAATGAGTTTAGTTTTAGTTTTTTTCCTTACAATCCCAAAGAATCTACAAGAAAATAAAATTATTAGAGAAGCTGAGTAGAGTTGTACAGTCCAAGAGCAGGAAACTTTTACCAGTTGGGTTTCTATACACCAACAATGAAATATCTGAAAGGAAAAATAGGGAACAATTCCATTTACAAGAGCACCTAAGAGAGTAAAATACCTAAGACTCCAACCAGGGAGGCTAACGGATCTATACAATGAAAATTATATACTGAAAAAGATTACAGAAGACTTAGCAAAATGATGTCCTATGTTCTTGGACTATGTTCTTGATATTGCTAAGATGTCAATACTACCCAAAGCAATCTACAGATTCAACACAATCCTGATTAAAATTCTAATAGCCTTTTTTATAGAAAAGGAGAAATGAATCCTCAACATTATGTGGAATGGCAAGAGGCCTCAAATAAAGCAATCTTGAAAGAGAAAAACAAAGTATAAGGACTCACGTTTCAACCATGATTCCCAGTGGTTTGGCAGCTACGTACGTACTGACGTAACCTGGCTATTATGTAATGATGGAGTCATATTCCGTTTTGTGATCTGCTGTATCATGCTCCATTTTTGCATCATGCTGATTCTTGCCTAATGACCTGGTCTTTGATATCTAACCATGCTAGTAAGTGAGAAGTGGGGGCAATCGAAACAGTGGTACCTAGGGTAACAGCAGACAGAAAGGCCAATGGAAAAGAACTGAGTCCTGAAATAAAACCGCTCCCTTGATAAGTCTACTTGATGGGAAAAGAAGAGTCTCTTCAATAAATAGTACTACGGAAACTGGAGTTTCACGTGAGAAAAAATTAAATAGAATTCCTACCTCACACCATACACAAACACACACACACACACACACACACACACACAAAGCCTCAAAAGGATGAAGAAATTCAATATAAACACTAAACCCACAAAATTTTTAGAAGAAAACACAAGGGTAATGCTGCTGGACCTAGCTTTCCACAATGAATTTACCTAATAATAAAATCACAAGCAGCAAAATAAGTAAAAAGAGGAGCTCAAAAAAAAAAAAAATCAAAAGCTGTTGTTCATCACAAGACTATTGAAACTGTGGAAACACTGGCTGTGAAAATGTCTTTGGAAGCCATATGTACAATAAAATTTAATAACCAAAATACAAGGGAGCTTCAAAAAGTTTGTGGAGAAATTTCATTATCTTCTAATTCAACTTTTCCAAACTTTTCAAAGCTCCTTCATATATATGAAACTTCAGTAATTTAAGAAAGACAAATAACCTAATCATAAAGTGGAGAAAGGACTTAATAAACACTGCACCAAAGAAGACATTCAAAAGACCACAACCACATAAAAAGATGCTCAACACATCATCAATGATCAGAGATGCAAAGCGAAACCGCAGTGAAATACTATTCCACTCTCACTAAAATGGCTGATATCTAAAACAGACAACAGCAAAAGTCAGCAAGAGCGTGAGGAAATGGGAATCTTTATCCCTTGCTGACAGGGATCCAAAAGGTCCAGCCATTGTGGAAAAGTGTAGCTGTTCCTCAAAAAATCACCACCATTTTCATTCCTAGGTATACAGGGGACTTCAAAAGTTCACGGAAAAGCACCCTTAAAAGACATTTTCTGCATCATGGGCGACGTTTGGAACTTTTGACCTAGTCTGTATTCAGCCCTTGGTGACTCGTGCTATGTACTACAAATAAGGTGACCAGATTTTAACACTGGTAAAGCGGGACAAAAGGGGACACCATTGATAAAACTCATATCCTGGCGAAATAGCCACATGGCAGCCGAAAACCATATACCCTAGCTTGTTGTGCATTCTTTCCAAAAACCGGACTTTTTCAAACGCCGCGGGAAAAATTGTTAAAAATCGGGACTGTCCTGCCAAAAGCAGGACGTCTGGTCACCTTAACTATAAACAACCAGGACTTTAGACTCTGTCCTTTCCAGGTACACAACAACCTTCATAGAATGCACCAGAAGGATTCCATTTGGAACTCACAGTAAGATAATTGGACTTTATCTTAAACACACCAAGCAAACTGGTAGCAGATTAAAGAAACTGCAATACTCTCATGTGCCTAAGGCTCGATGCCCTACTGTGAGACTAAGTAGAGGACTACCATCCCACGGAGATGGATGTGGAAGTCATTGGCGTTTGGTTCAAAAGTCTTGCCTTGAGAGTACCCATTAAGAGCAACTCAAGACTACCATGTATGTGCTACTTTCATACTCCCTTTCCTCTTTATGACATGCTTAGCCCAGTTCTGCCTCTATGAAAGAGCATTATTAAAAGTTTTGCTCTATCTCCAACTCTATTAGAGTAAATAGTGTCCAGTGACCTAAACTGTTAATCTGTGTAAATCGGCAATCCATGCATTTTAGTCTAAAATACTCTCCTATAAGGTATACTTTCTTTTTTGACAGTGTTTTAATTCTGTACTAGTAGCTACATTAACAGCATTATCAAAAGAACTACCATATGCCCCAAAGGGATGATTTACAATACCCTTCAATAAAATAATGATGTCTTTAAAGTAAAACAGGTACATATGTGCATATAAACAGATTTTTACCTCTAACTTAATTGTAGCCCCAATCTAAGAACACCTAGTTCTTATGACATGGCTCTGTTCAATACCTACTCCCACTGATCTTCAGTGATCACTGAAGATATGGGTCCTATAGCAAAGTGTGGTGAAGAAAGCAGATGGTACCCGCTATTCAGAAAGAACAGCATCTGGGGTATTGAAGGCTTGTCTTAAACAGCCATCAAAATGAGGTGTAGACTTAAGTGCACATGGAAGAAGCACACTAGCATGTGTGATGCACTAATTTTAAATAATAAAATCCAAACCCAAAGGAAGGAATGGTATTAGAATTTAAATTCTAAACATACAGTTTACAGAAGACTGCAGATGACAGTGAAAGCCCAAAACCCCAGCCCCCTTGCAGGGTCCTCCATGCAAATTAAGCTTCTGGAGACTGCCTTCTGACTATGGGAAAGGTCTTGTTACCAGAGAGCACACTGCATGGTGGATTACTATAATTGCAGATAGGTCAAAATGTGACATCGCGTCACTGATGTCTCTTTTGACCCACTTTATGTATAATTGCTCTAGTTTTTAATATTTTCTGCTTTGCTTTCAATTTGAAGTTTTTCTTTGATTGTTGGACCGTTTGTGTTGTCTTAATTTTGCATGTTTTTCTGTATATGAGACCCAGACTAGGTAAACCTACAGACAACGGGATCAGTAGATTCAAAGGGACAAGACAGGGAGGCTGGCAGGAGATGGGGAGCTGACAGCAAGTACAAGGCAGAAGAAATGTCTTGGAATTGATTGTGGTGATGGCTTCACAACCTTTTTTTTTAAAGAGGCCTTAACATGGCAGTTTTATTACTGCTTATTATTGTTATTTTTTGCATAACTTCAGAATGTGACTGAACTACTGAAGTGCATGATATGTGAATTGTTTGTCAGTGAAATTGTGAAGAAGAAAAAAACTTAAGAAAGAGAGATCATGGATTTTTCCCCCCACAAACTTTTGAAGCCTTCTCATACACCCCCAAAATTTGGAAGCAGAAACTCACAATAAGACTTGTAGACTAAGGTTCACTGAAGCACTATTTATACAATAACCAAAAGGTTACAACAAGCTAAATGTCAACAGATGAATGAACAAACAAAACTTGGCACTGTGGAACACTATTTAATCAGCAGGAGAAATGAAGTCTGGATAGCTGTTACAGCGTGGATGAAGCATGAAGGCATTATGATGAGCAAAATGAAAGGATAGACACTGTAAGACTTCACCTGCATAAAAAGATAGAAGAGAAATGTATAGAGCAGCGGCTCTCAACGAACGACCCTTTCACAGGAGTGGCCTAAGACCATATTTCCGATGGTCTTAGGAACTGAGACACCACTCCTCTATCAGTCTCCAGGTGGGTCTGCCCACATGCAGAAACACCCACATACGGGGGTCACCACAACGTGAGGAACTGTATTAAAGGGTCGTGGCATTAGGAAGGTTGAGAACCACTGGTATAGAGACTAAAGTTTATTAGTGGTTACCAGGCACAAAGGGAGAGGGAACAAGGTTAAGAGCAATGGAAGTATTATGTCGGTTAAGGTATGGGTTGTACAGCTGATTACTGTAATTGCTGCCAAAGAGTGGTACATCTATCTGTAAAGAGCTGAATTAACAAAAGTTGTATGATATATTTACAATGACCAAAAAGAGTAGCTGCCCAAAGCTGCTTATGTATAAAGCCCTCAGGGGATTTGGTTCGCTGGTTTGGAAGTTTGGGGCCAATTTCTGTCCTGGTTTCATAAGCCTGTGTTTATTGCTTCTGTTCTATCTAGTAGTTGGTGGCTTAGGACCTGGGATCTTAAAAGCTGCCCCGTGACCATCCAAAGTCTATTTGCCCGGAGCAACAGAAAAAGGAGAAGCAAAAGTAAGAAGAGGAAGTGCAAGGTGGGGCTGATTGTCTCCAGGAACAAAGGCCTTCTCTACCCAGAGATCACAGGAACTGGACTGTCCCCAGCTACCACTGCTGAACATTTTAATCAAAGGGATTATACAAGAATACAGACCAAAAGCAGGGAAATACAGAAAAGATTTTCAAATTCTCATAGAGTCCAAATTTTCTGGAGCCACAGAGATTAGATTAAGTCCTAAAACAATTGCTCTAAGTAAGATCCCCTTTATCTTCTTAAAAACAAAGGTTTAGCTCATCTAGTAAACAACATCTGCCCTGAGCATTATGCTCCTTTAAGACCTATCTACGTGGAATCAAATTGACAACAGCAACTCAAAAGATCAAATAGGAACTATAAGGGGCAGTAAGTTTATGCTAAATGGCGGTGGACCACAACACAAAACAAGGGGAGACTAGTTACACAACTCAGAATTTCATCAACGTCACCTGAAGAAACAGGTGGATTGGTTATGTTTTGCTGTGTATAATATCAGCAACCAAGTAAAAATTTTAAACTGAAAAGAAATATTAAGTTCAACTTGAACTCAATCTCTTAAAAACAGGGCAAAAGTTGCTCATCCATCCAATAGCTCAGGAGTAGAATATCTTATTTTAGGCTGAAACATAAAAGTTATACTACAGGAAAGAAAAAAGAAGCCCTACAGAGAATTCATGCTACTGTCACCAACTGAAGTACAGAATGACACACTTCTTTTTCTAAGATGTTCTTAAAACATTTAGTTACACAGACTCCCTTGAAAACCTTCCCTGGTGACTTACCTCTTTAACAGTGAATGTTTCACCTTGCGCACCTGCTGCTTGCAAAATCTTCAAAAGTGGCAGTTTGGGTCGTACCTAATGTAAACATAAAATACACCTTCTCACTTACATTTCATAGATATGCCTATGCAGCCTTAAAGTTTAAGAGAGCATCTTTAAAAAAAAAAATTTAAACAAACCCTAGCATTTTACTTATTATCTAATACAACCAATAATCCAATGCATAAAGTAACTTTTCAGCCAATCATACTACTTGTTGCCCTCCTGAAAAATCGCATTTTCAAAGGACAGCAGAGTTTTAAGCCAGACTGCCCAGGGACGAATCCTGGTCTCACTACGTACTAGCTATGTGACATGCGTAAACAGCCTACTTCAATTTCCCCCTCTCAGGAGTAAAAGGGTTTATTTATGTACATCCTGAAGAGCAGGCCTGGCACATAGGTACTATGTAAATATTATAGTGACTGTTAACTGTTCTCGAACATTTATTTTTTTTGAACATTAAATATACCTTATTAACAAATGTGCTCGACACAATGGATGGATGTTTGGATTCTGATTAAGAGTTGTACCAGCCCCCCCCCAAATGATTAAAAATAAATAAATAAACTTTATTAATCATCTCCCCACCAAATGGCATTACCAGATATAAGCACATAATTCAGAGAAAATGTTTTCCTTAATTTATGGTCGGTATTTTCTAAAAACTAAATTCATAAAAGCTACTACTAAATGTGTTGGTTCTCACATTGCAACATGATATAGTTAGTTTATTGTGCCAACCTGGCTGATAAACACATGTGGGGCTAATCGAAGGTCAGAGGGATAAATTGCCCAGTAAGCCTATCTTTCTTGTTCTCGGGTCTCTTGCTTTGCGATGGTCGGATCAGGGTGCAGCTGCCTTAGCCAGTTCCCTGCTTCAGCTGGCAAGTCTCACTTCCTGCAAGACATCCCCAAGGACAAGCCGCATGGACCTACCCTGATGCAGCCCTGGGTGCTAGAGCAGCCATGTGGAGACCCCTGCCAGCGCTGAGATGCTTACACATTCACTGATTCGGCTTTCCTCCTGCAGTCGGCATCATAGTGTGTGTTTTGTGAGATGGAGGAGGGCTTTGTGGATTGGTGTTGGACTTATGGGTTAATGGGTTAATGGCGGTGTGGGCTTGGGCTGCATTGGGTTGGGATGTTTTCTTGATGTGCACTTAACCTTTATATAAAATTCTCTTATACATGAGTTTCTATGGATTTGTTTCTCTAAAGTACCCAGACTAACACATAACATAGATCTTTTTTCCAAATATTAGTCTCCAAAAAGGTATTGTACTACATATGCTACCCCCCCCCCAATAGTTCTATTGGCATATAATTATCATATCACATAATTCAATCACATCAAGAGTTGTACAATCATCACAACAATCAGTTTTGGAACATTTTCATCATTCTTGTTATAATATTGTTTTTTAATATTAGTTAACTCTTTTTGGCAAAAGAATAAAAAAAGCCATTTCCTATGTAATCTAATCTCACTAAGTCAATCACATCAGTAAACTATCAAACAGTTAAATCATTCTAGTTTGGGGGGGAGGGGTGCTACATTTTTACAAAACAAATGTAAACTCACTGATTTCTATGTACGGTATGCCTTGACATGGCACTGTACGACTCTTCACAGGGCATGCTTAGTGTAGCCTGGCATTTTCTCTCCTGGAAATATACTTCAACTCTTCCATCTATTTCACAGCCCAATAACAACAAATTTTTTCCTTGGTGTCTTGGTTTTCAAGCCTGTTCCTGGGGTTATTTGGGGTGCTGATTCAGAAAATTGCATTCAATGGACGGCATCGGTTCTAATTTCTTCTATATCGTGTTCCACATTTTCAGCTATTGAGCTATACGAATTTATTACCCAAGTTTTAAATATGAGAATTCAGACCCACAAATTAGAGGATAAGACAAAAAAAGGTAAGAAATACTTGGAACTTCCAAGCGTAACCATATATGGACCTAGTGTGGCTAGCTGGTTATACACCGAGGTGCCAATCCTAAGGTCAGTGGTTTGAACCCACTGCAGCCTTTAAAAGATTTAAAGGTCTGGAAACCCAAAAGGGTAGTTCTCTGTTGCACAGGCTCACTGTGAATTAGAATCAACAAGATGGCAGCAGATCTTTCTTTCTGGCATGGGAGGCTGTGCAATATAAATAGAGATGACAAGCTGAACACTGCAAGACCATGACACAGATTGAGAAACGTGGGAAAGAAAAAAGAAAACTGAAAAGGAACACTTATGGAAGGTATAAGGGCAATTTAGAGGTCTGAAATTGTTAAGACTTCATAGCAATTATCATAAATATTTTGAAGATCTAATTTTGTTCCTCAAATTATGTGATCAAACATTTCAAGAACACAATTTAACATACAGAAGTCAATGGGTAATTCAGGTTAAGTGTTTCAAAAGTGAGGTTGACTTCAAGCTTCTTTTTAAGAAAAATTCTAACTTTTCTTTTAAGATGTTCTGTGCACAGGTGAAGTTGTGTCATTTTATAACAAGACTGGAACATTTTAATTTTAATAAAGGAGTTTGAACTCTGATGGACCCATCTTGGGTAACAGAACATTTCAAACTCTATTGTACCAAACTCACTACCAGTCTGTCTATTACAGTAACTCATAGCAACCCTATAGGTCCGAGTGGAACATCTATGGGTTTCTGAAGTTGCAGATCTTTATCAGAGCAGAAAGGCTTCTTTCTCTTACAGAGGGACTGGTAGCCTTGAATAGCTGACATTGTGGTTGACAGTTAAACACATAACCCACAACACCATCAAGGATCCTTATTTATTGTACAGTAACTCTTTATTTCTTTTGTTTTTTTTTGAGTAACTTATTTCTGGCACTGTTTTAAGACAACAGATTGGGACTACCTACCATTCGGTTTCTAATAAAAGAAAAGTGAAACTAGAAGAAAACTCTAGTCCACGCAATTTGCACTGTTCAAATATATCTTTGGACCAAAGGACATCATGTGAAGTATAACCTGACCTTAATATTTAGTACAACACAAAACTACGTTAAATAGAGCCAGTGTACACTTTCTCTCTCAGGCTAGTTAACACTTGTCCTTATCAAGGCACAGTTCTCTGTATAAAAGGGAAAATTATTTTTTTAGTTTGTTAGATGTCGACTCTACTTGTACTGTCTTTAGGCACATCATTTAAAATATATATAGTCATATTTGCCTCTCTACTAGGTTTTATCATGTGTGAGGTAGCTCTCATTCTCAGGTTTTATAAATGATTGCTAAATTTTCTTCTATTTTTTTAATGACTTGATTTTTTTTTTACATTTAAATCTTTATCTCTTCAGAAATCAGGGAGGTGGAAAAGCAGTGAGATAACTGATTAAAGTGCTGAGGAGAAAATAATAATAGACTTGGAAGAATTGTCATTGAAAAATAATAGCAAAATTAAGACAATCCTCAAGAAATAAAAGCTGGGGTAATTTGCTACCACTGGACCTGTTCTGCACCCCTCCCCCTAGCTCCCCATCCCCCACCCAAAAGAACCCCAACCTCACTGCCATCCAGTAGATTCCTACTCAGAGTGACCCTGTAAAAGGGAAGGGTAACACTGATTAGGTGCTGGGCTGCTACTCAAAAGGTCGAGTGTCAAGGCCACCCTGGAGTACTCCAGGACAAAGGCTTGCTGGTCTATTCCCCTAAGGAGGCACAATTCTACTGTGACATACACAGGGCTACGATCTTTCAGAACTCCACGCCTACTGGTTTGAGTTTTTTATGCCTGCCATCAAGAAATGCTAAAAGGGAGCCATGCACAGGAGGAAGAAGGTTCTCCATTAAAGGCACCTTCTTATCTAGTACCACTTGGGGCTAGTAAATAAATTTTTGATTTAACAGATGTTTTAAAAATAGTTTTATTGGCATATAATTCACCTATACAATTTAATAGTTCAATCATATTAATAAGAGTTGTGCAATCATCACCACAATCAATTTCAGACCTGGAATTTGTTTTTGTACAAAGTCTAAGGTCATTTGTTTTCTTCCAGTGTGACCAATGATGTCCAAACCATTTATTTATATAGGCCAAATTTCCCACCAAATCCAAATTCCATCTTTTCATATATGACGTTATAGAACCCTACATACTCTGAACTACTTATGAAAACACAAGATTATATATTTTTATAATCATAAGTATGTGTGATGAGAGAGCTGGTCAACGAAGCTTTTATAGAACAACATAATATAAAGTTTGGATTTTTTAAATAAGACTAAATTTTCTATTGAAAGAAAACAAACTAGTTACAACCATGCCAGGGGCCAGAAAACAAACTTATTTAACCCAGCTCAAATTTTCTCACTAGTCATTCCCACCCGAGAACACATTAGCATTCAAGATGCATACTTCGGGGCAATCATTAAAAGCTTATGGTAATTTAGTGAATGATCAATTCAAATTTAAGCAATGTTACTTGTTCATAGGTTTCCATAACATGACTTTTTAAAAGAAAAATCATCACTTTTTTCTCTGAGTAAAATCCTACTGTCTGTGGAATTTTAAGAAAAATCAGAATGACTAACAATTATTTACCTGAGTGATTTGTTCTGAAGAGATCCTGCCAGCACTATCAGATGAACACTGGGCAGAGGTGGAAAGCGATGTCATTTTGGCAGTAAAAAACGAAGTCTGCTGATAAAACTAAAAGGAAAAAAGAAATCATCAATGATACCATAAAGTAGAACATTCTCTTCGGCATTTTAAAAAAGTAGGCAGACCTGCCTAAGTAAATGCAATTTACTCCAGATTCCCAAGACCTTCTGGGTCACTTTCCATCCAGTTCAGGTGCTGCCAAAACTGAACTGGTGAACTAGGAGCCACAATCACCTAAACTTCCCTCAGGTGATGCTGGAAACAAACACGTCTGGGCATGCTCTGACCGCCACGGACATGAACGTGTATACTAAGTTAGTGGAAGATCCAAGTCACAAACATTACCTCCCCAAGCAGACAGGCTGGTTCTTCAGTATCTCTGGCTCTCTGAAGAGAACAACCCCCACCCTTGGAAAACAGTTGGGAGGTTAAGGGAATTACCAAGATAAAGACACAAATTCCAAGAGTACAAGGAAACCTCAACATGTCACAACATGTCTTAGAAAAGAGACACTAGAAAAAAAGAGTCTAAATTCTCAACTAGCAGTTAAACTGGTTTTTAAGCTGGTACCAAACCTAGAAAGAGCCTTGACACCTACAAAATGGGACAACCCCAAATGAACACACACACCAGGAAAAAGATATCTGTACATCAAATAAGGTGTAGTTCTATTTGTTTTCTTTACCCCTATCTTTCTTCCTTAAAAAAAAAAAAGTGATAGGGAAGAAATAAAAATTTAAATAAATGTCCTAGCACTTTTAGAAAAGTAATGAGTAATCAGCTAGTGAAATGTATGTGTAACAAGCCGTATTAGAGATACTGTGAAAGGAGCCTAGAAAAGCCACAGCAGACAGCTGGGCTGCAGACACTTAAGACTCTCACTCTCTTGAGAAGGTTTAGTGACTCTAACAAAATATGAACTCCTATTTCCTGCCTGCCAACAGCTTCCCTTGCTATGAAGTAGAAAATAAAATAGGGTACAAACACAACTTTCAATCGACTAGTTTTTGTCGTTTTAAACCGTTTTATTGGCACTTTATCCACATATAATATGATTCAATAGTTCAATCATATCAAGAAGAGTTGTACAATCATTACCACAATCAATTTTAAAACATTTTCTTCTTCCTTATATTGTTATTACTGTAACTTTTAAATTGTGGCAAAAATACACACAACCATTCTCCAATTCAACAACTTCTAGATAATTCATTGCCATTGATTATATTCTTCATCTTGTGCAAACAATATCGATATCCTTTTACAAATTATCCCACCACCATTAACATAAACTCAATACCATCTAAGTAAAAACTCTCCCTCCTTCACCCATGATAACCATTGATGAACTATGGCTCCTTTTTTAAATTAGTTTTCTTGATATAAAATTCACCTATCATACACTTCCACAGTTAAACAACTGACTTTTCACTGGCATTTCAAACCTCACAAATATAAACAAATACTAAAATGATAGCCCCCTAATAGGAGACTTCATACAGAAATGTTATTAAAATATAATGGGATTTCCCCCAAAACTTTCTGAAGCCCCTCTATAGCTCAGGTCAATGGTTCAAATCTACCAGCCACTCAGTGGGAGAAAGATGAGGCTACCTGTTCCCTGTAAAGATTTACAGCCTCAGAAACACAGTTGGACTTAATGGAAGCGGGTGGGTTCAGTTTTGATTTTCCAACCCCTTTTCTACATTTCATCAAGCCAACCACCTCTATTGAATTATTTTATTAGCCTCCTAGAGATTTCTTGGGAAGGAGCATTAGAACTGGTTGTAATGATGTATAATACAACTCTTTTTAAAAGCAATTTAACTCTGAAAGATAAAGAATCTTTTCTTGCTTCTGCACCTTTCCTAATTCTCACCTCCTCCATTAGCCGTTATTCTGAAATCGTCTTCCCATGAGACTGTGCTCGATTTTCACTTAAGACTATTGTGAATTGAGAAGGTTTACAGAAATCATAATTTTACATTCAATGACTCATACACAGTCTGATTCAATTCATCCACTTCAATCCTCTCAATGTAGCATCTCTTGTCCATTTCTCGTCTTTCCTCTCAACTTTGCTCTTGGGTAAATGCTGTATTTTTAATCTGAACCGGTTGAAAATTTTAATGAGTTCAATTACAGACTTAGTGGGTAATAAGGGAGATAGTCTGGGGTCCCATCAGTAATCCTGGTCTCTTTTATGATCTGAGTTTTGTTCTACATTTTTCTCCCACTCTACCTAAAACCTTCCAGTGTGGTCTTTTTCAGAGGAGTACTAATTTCTAAAGGAACAACGAGCAACTAGCCCTCAGTATTCCCCATCCTCGTCCTGATTTTACTTTTTTCCATAGTCTTTACTATGAACTGACACACTACTTTCATTATCCATTGCTCCAAGGAGCCTTGTAATTGGCCCTGTGACTTAACTTTAAGCAACAGCCTACAGCAGAAGTAACACTGTACCAACTCCAAGTCCAGCAGCTTCAATTCTATGGTTTAGGAAATCCTTGGACTCTTGCTACCCTTCTGCGAGCCACATGAAGAGGGAGAGGCCCAGCTGAAACCAGCCTTCTAGCCATACCCTCAAGGCATCAAGCATCTTGGGGCACTCCAGCCTCAGCTCCACCTGACAGTACTGCAGGGCAGACCCCAAGTGAGAACTGCCTAGAGGAATCACCCAACCAGCCACATCCAGTTAGCCAACAGAATCATGAAAGATAATGACATATTTTAACTTACTAAATTTTGTAGTGGTTTGCTATACAGCAATATTTAAAACAAATAATACACAGAGCTTACTCTGTACCACTCACATATACAAGAATTAACCCATGTAATCCTTAAGTAGCCCCAAAATAGGAGCACAAAGAAGTTCATTATTGGCTCAAGATCACACAATGAGTTGTGGAGTCAAGATTCACGGCCCCCACACACCTCAAGTCACACACTTCAAGTACACAGAATTAAAGTCACCATAACCCTTTCATTCAAACACTCTCATTCACCTGTTTATGGCCCAGTTTTATTTGGTTGAGTATTTTAATGACAAATGTCAAGGAACCCTGGTGGTGTGTGTAGTGATCCACAATTGGGCTGTTAACCGCAATGTTGGAAATTCAATCGTGCAGGAAACACCCGGGCAATTTATATCTACAACCCATTTCCCTGCTGACCCTAACCATCACCTCGAATCCTGTGTTCCTTCCTTTGCTTGCCTGTTGTTCATTTGACATCAAAAATGGATCCCTAAATTGTACACCTGAAAAATCTTGAACTGGAAAATGTTGTGTTATAAGGAGGAGTTTCTTGTACAAAAACAGAATTAAGAAACAATGATTTTTCCACAAACCTTCTGAAGCACCTTCACTTGTATTTTCACAATTAAAACAATGGAGTCCTAAAAAGCACCAATTTTTTGGTTTAGTTTTTACCTTTAGAAAGCAGATAGGTTACATATCATCGGGGGGGATTTTTGTTTCACTAAAATAGATTTATTGGTACTATGTCACTTTAGTTCACTTTTCACTTGATTACTATAATTCAGTGTTACCCCCTAGTTTAATCCTCTGCTTTGTGGTGATGGACATTCAAGTTGCTTCTCAGGTTGTACACTGTGGTGAGTGCACTAATTTAACAGTCCTGAACATGTCACCTGCTGGACCTTTGCAAGACAATCTCTTAAATATAACTACAACAGAAAATCAACTTAAGATCTGACACCAAATTAGTTTTCAAGAGTTATTTGTAACTAATTACAATCCCATCAGCAATGTGCAAGCAATCCTATGGACCCACTTCCTCTCCAACATCTGATGTCATGAGACTTTTTGAATCTTGCCAGTCAAATGGGTAATGGGCTTGCTTTGCATTTCTCTAATCCTGATTGATGCTGAACATCCCTTCATAAGCTAACTGACAATGTGTTTCTGTGAAATGTTAATGTCTTTTGTGTAGTTCTACTGAACTTCTGTCACACTTACTGATTTATGAGTTCTTTAGGGCAGATATTCTGAATATTAGCCCTTTGTCAACTGGGTGTCTTGCAGATATCCTCCCCCAATTGTTTTCTCTACTTCTATTAGGTGCTTTTATCAGTACGCATTTTCATAAAATGAAATGTACTATTCTCAGTCTTTTCTTTTCCAGTCAACTAACTGCATCTGTGTGCAATCCTATACTTCTCAAGGTTTCTCAGTCACCTATTCTTTCTACTGAGCTTTTTTTTTAATGTGTGGGGGTGGGGGCATTCTATAAAACATTAGGTATACTGAAAACATCTGATGTTGGTGCCTGCACATGAGCACACAGACACACCTGTGTTAGATTTACTTTTTCATATGTATAAATGGTATTCAGAGCACAATTATTAAACATGGTTTTCTTGACAGTCACTTGTGTGTACTTACATGCAAAAGTACTTCTGGGTTCTCTATTCTATGCCATTATTCAATTTTCCATGTTTATACAATTTCACACTGTCTTAATTCCTCTGACTTACAATAAGGCTTGTATCTGGTAGAATAAGTCCTCACACCCCACTCTTTTTAAGAAATGACCTAATAATTCTTGGCTCTTGAATCCATAGAAATTTTAGTCTATCAAATATCATGAGCGCCCCCACTGGGATTCTGAATGAAATGACATTGACTATAACAAGTAATTTCCTAACCTGTTAACTTGATGCATTCCTCTATTAATTATATATCCCTTAATAAAGTCCAATCAGTTCTACTGGTCCTTCAGCAACTTATTACCAGCTGAATGAGTACGAAACTCTCTGGGCCTCAATTTCTTCATTTGTAAAATGGGAAAAACTACTTTAAGGAATAATAATCCTTTTTTGTACAGTAGGTTTTCTTTTTTTACATTGTTGGGTTTTCATGTATTAATATTTTAAGTTTTAAAGTCTACTGTGTTAATGAGAACAGGTCTGTAATTTCCCTTATTTTTGTCTAGTCCTGATGCCCAAGGCCTCACTTAGGGAATTGTAAAATATGTCCCATTAATCTCTCTAGTTGCTTGTAAAAGTAATATTTCTGACATT